CGACCATGGCCTCGCGTAAATTACATCCATGGAACAAAATAAATTAAAATAAATATGAATCATAATCTATGTATAATCTGAGGAGAGAAACAGAGAACGTTAGTGAAAAGTTAGACGAAAATATGGCAAACATATTTTATATTAAAAGAAACACGAAAATGCAATTTGGAATTTTTATTATTGTTTTGTTAATTTTTATATTTTTTTTATTAAAATTTTAGTCTTAATTTTAAAAGGTTTTAATTTTTAAATAAACAAAACTTTAGTTTTAACTTTTTATCTTTAGAAAGTTTTAATTTTAATTTTAATTTTTAAAAGAGAAAGTCTTAAATTAAAAAAAAACTCTAATCATAAGTTTTTTTTTTAAAAGAAGAAGTTTACATAAAAAAAAGGTTCGTTAGTCTTACTTTAAAAGAATGTTAGTTTTAAAATTTTAAAGAAAGTTTTAGAAAAAAGTTTTAACCCTTTCTAACATGTTTTAATTTTTAATCTTTAAAACTTAAAAAAAATGTTAATTTTAATACTTAAAAAAAAGTTTTAATTTTAGGACTGGGTTAATTTTAAGTTAGTAAAAATGTTTTCACTTAACTATAAAAGTGTTTTAAACACTGTTTATTTATTAAAAAAAATTATTAGTGGTTAGTGTTTTAATTAAGAAAAAGTTTTAAGTTTTTTACTTACTGTAATTATAATCAAAAACTGGTTTTAGTTATAATTCACAAAAAGGGTTTTTAGTTAGAAAAAAAGAAAAGGTTTAAAAAATGAAATGAGAGTTAATTATTTGGAAGAGGTTTTAATTGGGATAACATAAAAGCTTACATTTCAGTTGCCGGTTGGTGATGCTTTCGCTTGTTCTTCGCCGGCGGCAATGGTTCTCGACGAACTTCTTTGGATCTCTTTTCCTCTTTCTCAAATGGAGGTGATGATGATGAGCTTCGAAACTCTTCTGAACCTCCGGATCTTGACGACCGCCGTTTTTCTTTTTGTCTCCTTTTCTGATGACCTGTTCTTGATTTTCTGATGTGAATGAAGTTTCCTCCCATCACTTATGTTTATATAGGTAACAAATTAGGGTTAGCTCTAACCTAATTCCCACTTTAAAGCCCAACTTAAAGAATTAGTCAAAACTAAATTAAAACAAACTTAAAACAACTTAAAACTCTATTTATTTACTAAATATAATAAAATATTTTCTAATATTTTTAATTTTTTGATTTTTTGATGTTTTTTATGAATAATATGGAAAAAAGTGAAAAATAATATTTTTAAAAAAATAATTTAAATAAAATACGAAAATAATAATTAAATAATTAAAAAAACTATTTTTGTTATTTTTTTTTATGAAAAATAGAAAAGTTAGAATAAAAAAAAAGAAAAACAAAAAGTGAAGAAGGTGGGATTCGAACTCTCGACCTCTCACACTCACAACTACTTACACACTGTCTCTTGCCAATTGTGCCATTTTATTCATTGGAAATAAAGTGACACTAGAAATTATGTAAAGGTAGGACAAATTTGGGGTGCAACAGTGATGGCTTAACTTTTTTTAGGCACTAAAAACATTTATGTGTATAGCACACATGATCGGTTGCATCAATATCCAATAGGAAAGGTTGAAATGAATTGGGAATGTGTAGATAATGCCTAAGCCTATATCAAATTGAGAGGTTAGGTGATTAATGTTATGAGTCTGTGAATGTGATGATCCTTGGAATAAGGGAAACAAAGTTGTTGTGCTGCTCTGAAGTAAAATCTAAAGCATGAGAATCTTATGCATTTGCTTCATAAGACTCACATGATTGCACTTTAGATATATCAGTCACACTAGCATATTGGTTGACTACACCATCTTGCTTCCAATGAGGATGATAATCATACTTTTTAAAGCAAGAATCAATAATATGGTTTGTCATTCCACAGTGAGCGCATACATGATTGCCTCGACCTCTGCCACCAAAAGATCTATCACTTTAGGAGTTCCTCTACCACGAGAATTAAAGTTGGGTTTGAACTGAGAATGTTGATTATGATTAGAATTGGGGATGGATATTACTTTAGATTCATCAAGAGGTGTAATGGTCTGTCTTTCTTGTTAGACAAGCAATGAATAAACATTGCAGATATTGGGAAGAGGGTCCATTAATATGATTTGAGATTGAATTACCGAGTATTGATCATTTAAGCCTTTCAAAAAACAAATAACTTGATCACTGTATCTATAAGCACGAATTTTGATAATGGCAAGACATGTAGAATCACATGAACATTTAGGGATTGGTATAAAGTTATCCAATTCTTGCCACAATATCTTCAATTGGGTGTAATAAGAAGAAATAGATGTATCACCTTGTTTCAAAGTGCAAATTTCTTCTTGAATATTCGAGATGCAAATAACATCTCCTCGATCCATATTTCAGCAGCATTATCCATCCACAAAATGCTTTGAGCAATCTCTAATAAAGTTATTGATCAATGACATGATCATGGTGTTACGCCTATCCCAAGTAACTGAATTATGATCATGATCTGATGGTCGAGGCAAAGAGCCATTGATGAAATGGAGCTTGTTCATGGATCTCGATGCCATAGTCATGGAGCGCGACCAAAAATGGTAATTGTTGCTAGAAAGAAGATGAGTAACAAGAATTAAGGCTGCATTTTCATTTGGATGCATGAAGTAAGGGTTAAGAGTATTAGTTTGATAACCTTTGGAATTGGATTATGAACCAAATCCAGCACTGTCACTATTGATTGAGGAGCTTGAAGACGACATGATGAAAACACGAAGGATGTAAAATAGTCAATACAAAGGAATTGATGAGCTTCAGTCACAACAGAAGGATAAAGTCACAGGTCAATGATACCATGTGAAGATGCAAGCTATGCCATGAGAAGAACAAACTTTGGCTATGGCTTAAAAAAGAAGAAGGAGAAAATAGCAAGCATACAGTGATGAAGAAAGAAGAAGAAAAAAATATTGCTCAATCTCTATTCATTACATGAACCAAGTGTTCCTTATATATCAAGGAATGTGTAACTAACTAACTAAATTAAAGATAACTAACTGATAGTTAGTTATTTCTGTTTTTGGTATATTAGTTACATTGACATGAACATTAATTGTAGTGTCATCATCCATATCACCATTAATAATTTTGTCTATTTTGTTGATAGTAATTAGTAATTTAGTATATATATATATATATATATATATATATATATATATATATATATATATATATATATATATATATATATATATATATATATATATATATATATATATATATATATATATATATATATATATATATATATATATATATATATATATATATATATATATTCCTCTATCTCTTCTGTTTTGCTTTGTCTTCTTGTAACAAAAATGTTCATATACTTGAGTTTGAAAAGGTATATTTATTTAGAGATATCAAACTGATAAGATATATTCATACCATGATGTTGTTATTCTTTTTGCATGGTGTTTTGGCAGAAGCAAAGAATCGGGTCATGGAGGCTATAAAGAGATTAGGTGGCTAGCATAGCCCCAATCTGCATCCTCAATGTACTCTTTTGGTGGTTCATATATCCTTTTCTTCTAAATTTTCCTACATAATAAAAGCAAAAACATGATGCTGTAATAGGAAATTGTGATTCATATACTATCATGTAAACTAGAAAAAGATTCTGCCACATCCTGGAAATTGTTTTCTTAACTTTCATGTTTATGGGAGAGAAGAAATTTTGGTACCATCTCTATAGTGCTATCGCATAGCGGAATTTAACCCAATAATTATTTTTCGGTGACATGCTATTTAGTAACTAACTTTAAAAATACCGTGAAAATGTCCAGTGGCTCTTCACTTTCACCTCTACATTGACAGTGATTTTGGAATATAAGTCTCACATTGTTAGGATTCTATTTAATAGTAATGAATATAGATTCACAAACAAAATTATAATATAAATTTCTGGGCTGTAAAGATGGGCGGGAAAGTCCAACTAAAATATTAATTAATAACTTATTTATAAAATAATTTGGATGATAAAAAAATCAATAAAACTTATATTACATCGTAAAAAAAGTGCCACATTATTATAAAATTTACACATTAGCGGCTTTTCCAAAAATTAAAAATGAAAGAATAAAATTATTTAAAAGTAAAATATAAAAATATTTTGTGAATAAGACATCTATAACTATATATAAAAAAATATAAATGTTTAAGAAAAATATTGATTGCACACCGTTATCCTCCATTTGCCGGATATATAACAAAATGACTACAATATACCTTTATATAATTCAAACTGTTGGTATTTATTTTTTTATTTCTTAATGTGTTTCTTAAGTTAATTAATCATATTCGTTGATTTATTTGAAATTTCTGATCTAACATTTAAATCAATTATTTTCTTGTGTTATTTACTAAAATTTAATTAATATATCCTGACGCTGTAAAAATTCTTTATACTGTTACATAATAACAACGGTTAATTTATTTAAAAAATTTAACTTTAATTTTAATTACTTGAAAACTAATATTAATGCATTAATAACGTAAAACTTTTTGTATTTATAATACATAACAAAATCTAAAACGAAATGGAGAGGATCTCGAGCGTTGCCAAAACGCAGTGTAGAACACACGTGTCTTCTCTTGCTCCGTCGCCGAACTTCACACACCCCACACCCACCGCAAATCCAGAATCTGATTTTTTTTCTTAGGTCACTACTCTTCTCTCATATCTCTCATATACCCTTCACTTTCAATCATTTATTTAAGGTACTATGGTACTCCTTCACTCATTTATTTGATGTGTACTTTGCACTATATTCATATTCTGATAGTATTCATCATGATTGTTGTAGTGCATTTAAGGTAGGATCAAAATGCCACTGTTTTTATTTACTTTGTTTTGCAGGTCAAGAATTTCATAATTTCTGGGATCTCAATCACTGAAACAGGAATGCAATTCAATACCTTTCAGATAAAATGATGCAAGGTGGCTGTTATAATTAATTTATTTATCTTTTAACGGTTTGGTACTGTTCGAAATTTTTCGATTTTGTGTAAATTCAAACTGTTCGGATGATTTTGTGTAAATTCACTTCGTTTCGATTTTTTGACAACTATACCGTGAACAGCCCGATAGATAACATCACAATTGTAATAAGGGAATCAAATTTATTTAAAAATAATAGAACAAATGAATGAAGCATGCCAAAGCACTCATCCGACACTTTATAATCTTGATGGAAATCTTTTGTACTTGATTCCAAATTATCTTCAATTATTTGGTCTACTGCAGTTGAACTATACCCTCAGCATGTTAGAGCAGTTTCACCAAATCATTTGGTCTACTCAAACATAACAGTTTTTTCAAAAGCCTAAGTTTTTTCATCCACTCAACTGAGTGTGCACTTTATTTAACCTTTTATAGAAAGAACTTCATAGCAACATGGACACCTCAAACACGACCCCGATAGTGATACATCAATTCGGTAATCATTTGAAAAAATGAATAAATTAAACGTAATTGCAAGTGCCGGTGGTGCTGGTGTCTGACTCTGACACGGACTTGGACACACTTTTTTTCAGAGGTGTCTATGTTACATAGGTCTGGTTGCATAGTCTTTGGTTGCATGATATACTTATTTGAAGTTAGATAAAGTGGAAGTGGATTTTTACTTAACTATGCACTTTAGATTTCTTTTGATTATTTCCGTTTTTGATGTAATGGTTATGTTATATGATGCTCCAGGTAAAAATGGGAGCACTCCACCAGTGCAGGACTTATCCACTGACGCCAATCTTTCTAAGATTGATGATGGCAAAGATGTTTTACAACATTTTACAAGAGCCTCGGGCGATATTGAAGAGACAAAGGCGAGTGATCTAAAAGGCGGAGAAAATTGTCCAAAGGGTACATCTCCTGAGGAAATTGATGTATCTGGGGATGTTAACATGGAGGCATCTATAACACCTGATGATGTGATCCGGGCTGGGGGATTCGGCGCTAGAGATGATATCAGTAGTTTACTTCCTGTTGCAAGTGATTCAACTGACTTTGAAGCTTCAATCCGTGATGCACGAGACTACGAGGAATCGCAGGGAGAAGTAAGCAGGCCCGGACTTGGTTGGACTGGTGCGACTAAGACTGAATAATTATTGTCTCTGTTGTAAGCACTTATAATTGCATCTTTTAACTAGGACGATAATCTTGTGTTTATTTCGTAACTGGTCCTTGTTAAACTCAACGAGTCATGTAAAATCAGAAAAAAAGCTTGTTGAAAATACTATGAAACTATTTTCTTGTAAATATAGTTGGTCTTTTACTATTAATTGTTTTGGAATAATCTGCAATGTCACATGAGAAGTAGAAACAAACTTTGGAGAAGCTCTTCCAAATGTTCATAGTCCCTTTCTTTGCTTACATTTTTCATTACAAAAGTGGTGCAAAGATGTAAACTCAAATTTGTTGCAAACTATCTATAGGACCCTTTTTCCCAAATGCTCATAGTCCCACTAGCTCATTGCTGGTGTTTTTCTTAGTCAGTCTTGTAGTTGTGACCCAAAAGCAATTCATCCATTTCTTTTTCAAGTGTGAATTCAATGGCCATGCTTTCAAATTTACAATTATTAAGAGCATGGAAACATATAAGGTTATTATTAATCAATAATTCACAACCTTACATTCTAAACTAAATGGAGGTAGACCCTTCCTTTTGAAAGATTCTGTGGCCAGGGGCAAGTAGTGCTAATGGGTCATAGACTCTTTTTCTTTCCACAAACACCCCCCATTTTGACCCAAAATGAGTTTGCCATTCTTCCTGTGTGGTGTAATGAGCAAGATATTGCTTCACATTTAGTTTGGCATGGCTGAGGAAATCTAAGATCCTTCTGTTTTGGCTTAGAATGTATTCTAAACTGTTTTCACCACTAGAAAATGGGATTGCCGATGTTAGGAATGCGACTAGGTAGAAAACATCTTCCTCTGGAGTAACCAAAGATGTTTTACTGTTCCACCTGAAAAAATAAGTTGAAATTTGCGTCGGACAAAGAATTTGAGGTCAAAATTACTATTTTTACTTTTAGATTTCACTTTGGTCTCAAATTTTTGAGTCCTGAAATAATTTATGCTCAAAAAGGTAAATCCAAACATGTACTAGCTGGAGGCATAAAGTTTGTCAAGCTAAGACATGATAGATACCTGGTTTGGTTGACAGGGTAAATGAGTATGGGACCATTACTTGTGTCCTTGAGAATATTGCCAAATACTTGTTTGGCAAAGTCATGAATTTCACTCCTTGGGATCAGAAGGTTCAGCCAAGGATGGTGAACATCCCATAAGCCTTTTGCTCTTAGCTTCATCTCAGAAACATGCACTCTGTCCAAAAATTCCACGTAAGAAACTTCTGACAGGAACAGTGTTGGTTGAATGTAACTCAACTTTGACAGTAGGTGATCAACACCCTGCATTTTAATGTGAAAAAAAATTATAACTTTTTTTAGCTAATGAGATTGAGTGCATGTTTGAATTAATAGTGAGAATAGCGAAATCATAGCGGCTGTGATTTAGCTATTCTCACTGTAATTCAAGTTTTTGTCTTACCTGATTCATGACTTCAGCTTCGTTGGGATTGAAGTACTTTGCCATCTCAAGACAGTAAAAAGTCTTTCCTTCTGAACTGAATTGGCTGGCTTGAAGTGGATCTTTTGGGTCAAAAGATAATCTCCAACTATTAAGGATACCAGTTCTATTTATGATTACAAATCCTTCAATATAATCAAATGTGTCCTTAAGTGATATCAAATATTCTTGATCTCTTGTAAATGTAGAGAAATCTGAATAGAGCACCCTAATCCATTTCACCTGTAAAATGTTTACAGATTATGTCATAAAAAGTATATTCTTGGAAACTTTTTTCAGTACTTTCATATTAGAAATGAGGGTACAGTACACTCACCATCTTTGGTGCTGGTTCTAGAGAAATTCTAGCTCTGGTGATGATGCCGAATTGACCGAGCCCTCCAAGAACACCATGAAAAAGGTTAGCATTTTGATTTTCTGAGCAGGTAACAACTTCTCCTTTTCCTGCAAGGAACAATTATTCTCATTCTTTATAAAAAAATCTAAAACGAAACCAACTCTTCTTAGATTCTGTTTGAGCAGTACCTGTGACAACTTCCAACTGGAAGATGTTATTGATCTGAGGTCCATGTTTAAAAGCTTGTCCACTTATTCCAGCGTTTGAAAGAGTGCCTCCAACCGTTAGATGAAGATAATCTGTCCAAGATTTCGGCGCCAATCCATATTGAAGAGTCTCATGCAGAATGTTTATCCACAACTCACCACCTGAGACATCCACATAAGGAAACTCACCTGTCTGAATTTTCATTTCAGGACCCTTTAGCGACTCCATTTTGATGACTAGTCCTTGATGTGCCTGTGCCTGACCTTGAAGGGAATGTCCATGGCCTCTAGCAGCTATCTTCATCTCCGAATCCGACCCTTTTTCAAAAACATGTTTTATAGTACGCGAAATATCCGAAACAGTTTTTGGATGCAACACTGCTAGAGGAGGAAAATGATGTATGTTACCAAAGTCCTTAGCAGCATCTTCATTATTTTTTAAGCTCAAGTGTCCATCAAAGGATTGTGATTGTAATGAAGTTAGGATTTGACAGTGTTGAATTGGAATTATTGAAGTTATAACAGAATTGTTGCAGCCTGAGTCTGCTTTGTTAATCATAAAATGAAGGATTAGAAGTATAGTGATTTTGATGAATGAAAATATGACATGTTTTGAGAAACCAAAAAGTTTTAATGCCATGATTTGCTTGAATGTTGTTGTTGTGAGGCAGGGTATAGAAGAAGAATGAAAGGTTTAGCAGACCATAAAGAAATGAAAAGTTGAGAAGACAATTTGAAGAGGTAAGCCCTTTTTATAGACAAACATGATAGTCTGATGTAGGTGTCCTTGAGGTGTGTTTGATGCACCTTGTAATGGTAACAAATTCTTTATCATGTGTATATTTGGTGATATGTAGAAAGTACAAGTAAAATAGGTATGAAATTCAATGCTAGTGAATGTATGCTTAAATTTTATTAATAATAGTCTCGTGGCCTCTTCTATATGTAGTAGGCGACAAAACTCTTCTTCGAGTTGAGATGACCACAATAAATGCAAAATCTTTCACTTAAGAAAATTTAACACTATTAATTTAGAAATGAACATTAAAAAAAGAATTTAAAATATTTAATTTATTAGGTGGTATTTTAACCATTAAACTACTAAAGAAACACATTAGCCTCCATTAAACCATCTTCATCACTTGAATCTTATTAGGTTATATGGACTGTGCTCTCAAAGCAACTTGATAATACATGTTTATGAATGCATAGAGAGTGGACCACTTGATAATGAAAATAACAAAAAAGACATTAGGACACGAAAAGATTCGTGAGATTTCAATCCCAAGTTACTGGTTTTGGTTTCACCAAGATTTGCAACAAAACACATACTCACATGATGGAGAAGGATAAATGCAACATGAATTTGAATTTTAAAGTTGTTAATTTTGTTGGGCTATATTTATGAAGAGGAACATGAAGGACTCAATTAATAAATTTGACATGATATATATTGTTTTGGTTTTCTATTTAAAAATAATAATTTTTATAGTATTATATATACATATTTTTTTTTTGTAAGAAAAGAATATTTCATAAAATGTTTAAATGAAAATTTAGTTTTTATAGTTATTTTTAAAATGTTATTTTAGATATTTTATCATTTTATTGAAATGTTTTTTGGATATCAAATTTTTAAAAAATTATTTAATTTTGAAGCTATTTTAAATAAATTTTTATAAAAATTATTTTTAAAATACAATTTTAAAAAATATTATGATTTCGACTATATTATGATGTTCAATAATTTATATTTATGTTATTAGATATCAAAATTGATCTATAACTTAGAAAAAGCGAATTGAAAAATATTTTTATAAAAATTATTTTTAAAAATATAAAAAATAATCTATTTTTTAAAGATAAAATAAATAAGTATTAAATATGTTTTAATAAAGATTGATGGGTTTTTGAGAATGAAAATAGGGTTAGGACAAGAAGGAACTGTGTGAATTATTATTGGATCTTTAGCAACCACATAAGTGGAATCAAAATATTTTAACTCAAAATTGCAAAGTATATATAACTCATTCCAATTATAGTATGTTCTCTTGAAATATACCAACACATACTTTTTAGAAAAATTAAAATCAGATATAAGGGCAAAATTGTCCCTTTTTAATTACTCCTTAATTCATTCAGATAGGTAATATGGAACACGATTGATTAATGCTGTGGATAAAAACATTATCTATTAGCATAGTTGTCTTAAACTTTTAGAATTTGTTTGTGTTGGTAGGACCTTGTCACAATTTAATTGTGACAAAATTTTGAATTTATTTATTTATTTTTATTGTAGTTTATCTTATGTTGTGAATCAGATATTTTTTAATAAAGTATAACGAGTTTTTTTATTTTTAAAAAATAAACAAGGGTTTATGGTTAACAAAGAAAACAATGTAATACAATAAGGAACAGTAAGGATTATTTATAAACAATTATTCTTTTTTTTTCTCTTTGAACAAGATTACAAGTATATAAGAATAACAAAATAATCTCTCACACTTGAAATTAGGATTTTATCTTCCTATTTTTTCCTTATGCCAAAATTGAGAAACTAACATCCTATTTATAAGAAAAATAACACACTAACCTAATAGGCTTTTTAACAATTACCCATTACAAGCTAACTTAAACACTTGGGCTTACAAGCAAGGTCCAATCCAATATGCTAACAACCTAGCAATATTGACTAATTCATATTAGAACAAACTTCGACTACAACACGCATTATCTTCGACATCAGCATGCGAACAAACTTCGACCTTATGCTTAATTCCTGTCGAACCAGAAGCTACCCTTCGACCATACTAGAGTTCGATCCAATATCTCACAATATCCACCTTGGATCTAACTCTATAACATCAAGGAACTAGCTTTCTTCGTGCAGTTTTATCAACTGCATACAGTGAAAAAACTTGCAAATGGGCAACGTCTTGGTGATCATATCAGCAACATGTGAACAAACTTC